ACCCTAACCCTAACCCTAACCCTAACCCTAACCCTAACCCTAACCCTAACCCTAACCCTAACCCTAACCCTAACCCTAACCCTAACCCTAACCCTAACCCTAACCCTAACCCTAACCCTAACCCTAAACCCTAACCCTAACCCTAACCCTAAGTTTAATACCCTATATAGGCTCTTAATTGGGAAGGGATACCATCCGAGGTGCTGGAAGACAGCTAAGGGGGTTATACTAAGAAAGTCAGCATCAATAAAAAGGGACTTTTCTATGCCTAAGGCATATAGGGTTATCTCCCTACTAAACTGCCTAGGGAAAATAGCTGAGAAGATTATAGCTAGGAGACTTTCTACCCTAGCTGAGTCATCTCGCCTACTATACTATGACCAGGTAGGGGGTAGGCAAAGAAAATCAGCTATAGATGCAGTCATGTCTCTAGTTCATGATATTCAGACTGCTAAACATAGAAAAGAGATGACTACTACCCTATTTATTGATGTCAAAGGGGCTTTTGACCATGTCTCTACAAATCAATTACTCAGAGTCTGTATTAGGCTAGGGTTACCATATAGCCTAATTAGTTGGATCTACGAGGCCGTCATCCTGGTCAGCAGGCGGGAAGCCAGGTTGTCGACAGACAAAAAATTTACTCGAAAGAAAAAATCAACACGCGACAGTCATCTGAACTCAACTGCACGAAATATGCATTATTATTGTATATCAAAAATAAGTTGCTAGCATAGCTAGGAGACTTGTCGTTCCCATCCATCCTGAAGAAAGAAGAACACCAAAATCAGCACCTACAAAAAACACGTCTTTTTAACGCGTCATTCAACTCAGAGAGGCCCCTAGGCCCCGAGAAACCACCATGGAACCCCCCGATCTCCATGGTGGTGGTGTTATTCACGCGTCACCCCCGGCAAACGGCCACGCGGCAAGCCAGCTCACGGAGATCCTGGAGGTACCAGACACCCCAACCCCAAGCCGATGGAATATTCCAGGGCCCCTAGGGCTGGTTATGAATGAGA